GCATTATTCTGCATTTTTACTTTTAGTTTCCTGAAGGAAGGGTAGAATTACAGCATTTTAAAGCAGTTGTTGATGAAGATTCCAAATTACCAAAGGGATTAAAGGCATGTCCCAAAGTGACAGAAATACATGTTAATCCCAATAACTTCCAGAGAATGAGTGTATTGCTGGCAGCTCAAGTGACACTTTTTTTTACTTATATAATCTTGACTTGATAAGAATACTTTTATTTATCTCATATATTTATAGATATTTAGTAATACTTTTGCTGATGCTATGCTGTTTTATAAACAGCGTGAGGTTGCTATCCTAAAGAATGCAGATGTTACAATAAGTTTCATACGTCACATCAATGCTCTTTTTGATGGTTTAAATCGTAGATTGCCACAGGAAGGAATCAGACACGATTCAAATGATCTCAAGATAATAGTAATGATTCACTAGGAAAAACTATAAATGTTTTAATAAACAACTTTTTAAAATAGGTTATTGAAGAATCTCTAGAATGGTTAAATAGATGGGAAGCATTCGGATTATTTATAGATTAGAATCACTGATAAAAAAGGGATTTTTGAGCCACCAGACAGCAGAAAATCTACCGCTCGACGTTGACTAATATCTTAGCACTCATCAAACAATTGCTTCCAAACTCGTATTATATCCTGACAGCTCACTTTAATCAGGACCCATTAGAGGTAAAACTGACTTACAAGTTAGTGTAATGATTATATAATCTTGTATTAAACTTTTAACTTATGTTTTCTTTTCAATTAGCGTTTCTTTGGAACGATAAGACAAGGAAGTGGAAGCAATTCTCATCCCACAACGGTACAGTTCTTATACCTGTACAGCCTGGTGACTGCGTACTGCCTCCCAAAACACTAACATTTTCAGCCTCACGGAATAAACCATCCTCGGGTGTAAATGAGTTCGAACGTATTTTATTAAATAAACATTTCTCAGCGATGGAAAGTGTTTAATGTTTTATTAAGTGTCATTTATTTATCCATAAACCCGGTTTTGGGTTTAAATAAAAGCTTTTTCATTCTTATAATAAAATGCATATAAAATATTATGAAATCGAACTCGAAGGTTATATATCTTTCAATAAAAAGAAAACATTCGATCTAGCGCTCTCGCAGTGATTGCAGTGCCCCTGGTGGTAACATTTGTCTCTAGTTGATTTTAGCAACGAGCGAAGATAGGAAGTCGGAAGACCGGTTAATCTACCGACTCTGCCGTAGCCAAGAACGGGCCCGTGACAACGCCACCCGCGGTAACCACGCCAGTAGCCTGGCGTAATCTACGCCAGGACCCCGAGTACCGG